ACTGCTTTACTTCACCTTTTCAAAAATGAACAGTTAAAAGGGGTGCAGAGAACGCCCGCCAAACCTGACCAACGGAGTCTCTTAATTTGCATAATGCAAGAAAGAACCATCTTCAAGGGGTGTGAACCATTGTTCCCAGTGTTTAATTTATGCCTGGAAAGCTTCGGCCCACAATGCGTTATCCCTGAGGCTGAACAAATCCAGGGCACTGATCTCGACTTAGTACCCAACGTGTACCAAATTCCCAAAGTCGTTAATGTCCATAGACGATTATGTTTACTACTTTAACGGAAAAATTTGTTTCCTGTGGGATCAGGCGTTTCACTGGCAAAATGCTAGCAGAAATGCCTGCCATGCTGCGGACTGGTGGCAGAACTATCACAATCGGGATCGGCGATAAAGGCGAGACGTGCGGCTATCATTAAAAGGCGGCAAAGCACTTCGTAACCACAGGTGAGCGAAAATGCATTGCCACAGCCTATTTCGAGCATGTGCTACCACTGTTACCAGTCCCTTGGATGAACGGGATCCAGGCTGGCCCACAAAATGTGTTAAAATCGGTAAACGGGACACACCTGCTACTTAGTATACTGCCAAAATAGTATGCTTTTTGAACCTATAGTGTGAAGTTACAGCCTTACATCCCTGAAGGCTCACTTCTTGTCAGCTGTATCTTGAAAGAAGTTACATCAAAAATTGGGTCTGGAACTCGTAAAGAACGTAGCACAAGCACCTCACATCGTGCGTAGAATGTGAGCAAAAGTTGGACAGTTTCTAGACCCCTCGATATGGATATCAGAACATTTTCATGTACGATTCAACCCCCATTTTACGGTCCTTGTTGTTTTATACAAAAAAGATTGCCCATTTAGTCGCTATTCGCCTTTCAAAAGCAGCACTTATCAGCATAATGGATACTTGGCAAGTTTTTTAAGTTGGTATTCAGCTTAAAAATAAACAGTCTACTAAACAAAGGAAATTGTGGGGCTATTCAGCTATTTATTTGGGTACAGATTTAACATTCTTTGTTGATACAAGTGGGTGAGCTAAGTCCATATTAGGCTGGACTCATCCTCAAGGTTTTTAGCCCAATTTTTGAACAAAAATGGCGGGATTTTTTTCTTTTCTCCCAAAAAAATCTACCAAATACAAAGTGAGGACTTGATTTCTTCCCCTCCCTGGTGTCTGTTTGCATTCTTCCCCAAAACCATCTGTTTGGCGCTAGTAAGACCCTTTTTGGAGGCAGAAAGAAAGACAATTAGAAGTAACGAATGGCCCCTGTGATATGTCCATTGTAAGCGTTTTCTTCCACTGTTTTAAGGCAGTCTTCTTAAAGTTGCAAAATTTTAATGCTTATTGCTACTTTAAAATTGGGCGGTGATGTTGTGAAGCTCGACTCACACTTGACGTCCTTCGAGACTGGAGGTGAATTAGACTGATGCAAATTTTATTCTCACAAAGTCGTGGCGCAAAGTTGTCAATTAATGCCTTGTACAGTTTAATCCATTTCTTACCGAGACATTGGATTCATTTAAGGAAAAATCACCTACAATACTCTTTCGAGCAGAAGAGATCTGTTTTTGCATGAGATCTTGAATTTAAGATAACCTATTTGATTTGAAGACGCCAATTACTATCTAACGGGGCTCGAAGACGACAATGTAAGTGTGGAAGTCGGAAAAATGTCCTATTTTGAGTTTTTTTATAGAAACTGGTAATCCTTTACATGTTCGCATCAGCCAGTCAAAAATGGAGGAGTCAAGACGTCTGCTTCAGGTTTCGAACTAATCATGAAAAGGCAAAAACACCAAAGACTGCTTTTGCAATAAAAAGCAAATAATTGCAGAGGACTTGTGCCAAAATTTCCTAAGTTGAATTTTTTTGTCTGTACAAATGTGCATCTTTTTCTAACCAGACAGAATGACGATGTCAGTCCTACCGATGATGATGGCTTTTGTCTCCTGCATCAAACAACCCATCCCTACTCGACACCATTTCTGTCTACCTATTCCTCTTTATTTCCCAACTTTCCACCGGACACGAACTGCTAATACCATAGTGAAGCGATACGCATCGCTTGGAGGAGGATTGCCACAAATGGAGAGATGAAAGTGATGAGAATGAGACTGTCCCTATTGCTTCTACCCTAAAGTGTACGTCAAGGCAGAACAAGCGGATCGAGGAGGTTGTGGTGGTGTGGTGATGAGGTGAGGTGAGATGGTGTGAAACTCGGTCAGTAAAGGGCTGTGCATTGTGAGCTATGCGGTAGAGGGTGGGAAGGGTTGTCTTCTGCTGTGCCCTCTAATCCTGTCGTATCTTACCTTGTCTAATCTAGTCATAGAAGATTAGCAATTTCCTCACCACTTTTTCAATCATTCCCGTTTCTGAAAATCTAGCACGACCAAGTTCATTAACATAAGAGGCGGAGAAGGAGGTAGAAGAATAGAACAAGGTTTTGCACACCTTCCGCTTTTATCATGTTGTGTCCATGTCGGAGCAACAATTGTTGTGAACACTCATGTCTGCAGTTCATTACACATGCACCCACACATATACACCACACTCGCACCACCACACTGCATACACTACACACAAAAATCAGACACTGTCTTCTGCAACAGAAGTGGTTCGTGTCTCAATCTCACAACGCATCCTTATAACGCACGTAAAAGAAGTACACAACAGCATTTTGACAGGTTTTCATACCCATTGTCATCTCTCACTACATGACATGTGACAAACAGGAGCTTAGCTTTCATACCCTGCCCCTTCCACCTAACGTGTGTGCAAACCAATCGCTTCATCACTCACTTTCAGCATTCACATCTCCATCCCTTCCTACCATTTACGATTGCGATATGTGGTTTGTCCGAGACTGCGTAGCTTGTCCTCGCTCTCGTGACCGAGGTTAGATGGGCTTAGTGAGGCATCTTTAGGCAGCTCACCACATGTATCGCATTTTTCAAACGACTTTTGAGCTATACCTTTTGTAACTGCTCCCCCTTTAAGTGCTTTACAGCTTTAAAAGTCTGCTTCCACAGTTTCTAAATCCTGCTAAAATCACCAAGCCGACAATCTGGACTCCCATCCATCTGGTTCAATCGGTATTTTAAAACATGACCGTTCGGGGTGTGGGGAAAATGTAGAAAGCACGATGAAGAGTACCAAATTGGCATTCTAGGACATGGTAGTGGCAATAAAGCGTTCTTATTTGTTACGACACTGCACACCAAAAACTCCACAGATTAATCTGGTCACCTGATAAATTTGCTTTTCGGGTAGGCAGGGGAGAGCTAGACGTCAATTTGGTGTCCAAGAGTGATACAAATGATAGAAGTCACACTTTTCTCTCATTTTGATTGTCACTTTCAACACATCTTCACAAAATATGTTAACAATTATTGTGATTTTGAGTGGTTTCATCATATAAAACTCTTTACCACATGGAGGAGGTCTCATTGACTCAGAGCTTTGAGTTGCCCTTTCTAAGGCCAACCGGAAATTGAAGATATAACTTTGACTTATTCAACAAGACGAGACTCCAAACTCTAACTTGCTTCATACACAGTTGTGATTTCTTAGACTTCGTAGGTTAGAATCCCTTTTTACCTAATTTAAATTCTCCAAACCTCCCGCATAAGTGTTTGAAAATTCGCTGCCTAGTAACGCCTCCTAAAGTATTCCAAACTTGTTTACCCTCCAAAAGGGTATTTTTTAAACGCAAACTATCAACAAGGATAAAATCGGTGAGAATTTCGGCTCAAGGAACCTCGTATGCACTTTTTAACAGCTTTGGTTCGACCAAGTAAAAGGGAAAAAGGTTTGCATGCTGTAAAGTATTCCTTTGCAGAACAATTATTAATATTTCATGATAAAATACAAAACGGTTGGATTTTAGTTTGATTTTAGAAATCTGTTGCCTTCTGGACAGCATAGTGAAAGATTTGCAAGGCCTCCTAGACGTGCATTTCCAAAATGCCCATCTTGCCAGTGCACATCTAGTCTGTAGACCTGGTCAAGAGGCTAGGGGAAGTCGGGTTATTTTTAAAAGAACCCAGTGCTAATAAAGCAGTGATTAATGGCGTTCTGACAAGGTATCGGTACAAATTTCCGACACTAAGTTACTTCGAACAGAGCGTTTGGGTGTTACACGGTAGCGCTGAAAACTACCTTCCAGTGTATACGTTAAAATCAACAGAAATAGCATTACATACATGATTAAAAAGGCCCTACCTTTTTGTCACTTTTAAGGTCTGAAAATCCCTCTTCTTGTTATCATAATCTGGGCGAGATATGCGAATGTGTCTGCGCTTCCATTTCTTCCGTCTTCTGGAAGAGATCATGAAATCCTTACCATCTGTAGGGAAGCATTTGGCGCAGAATGGGATGCAAACCAACTAACGCCAGAGAATAATTATTTTTAGGGTGCTTGTTCCCCTTTCTGTCAATAGCTTAATCAAACAGCATGAAGAGACCCTTTCCTCACACCACACTGATGAATATTTTCTTCTTTAAAATCAATTTTACGATATACTATCAAGAGTGGGAAGCTACTTTAACATGCTTTGAATGCTGGAAGTTGTTTTCTGTCACTCAAAGTGACTGGTAAATTCGGATGAAGCGTCAAGAAATTGGCACGCCTAAACTGTCACGGCTAACTTATGACCGATTCGTTTGTATTTTGGCCACACGAGGCTTCTCCCGGTCTCCCGTGATTCCTTTTTAATCCCACTGACATGGCGCTCAGCCTTCGCCACATTTGCTTTCATTCTGAAGTTCTTTTGTGCGTAAATAATCCCAATTTTAACTCTAATAACGTCATCTGAGTAAAGTAGACAATGTCGGACTATCAAGATCTAAATGTGCAATCTAATTTCATTGCCGACTTTTTGCCCTAAACGGTCTGGTTACCCTGCTTTTTTCTATTACTTTAAAAAGTACATTATTATTCTTATTTAAAGCACGACATTTGGTCGGTGATTCTGCTTTTTGAAGCATTCTAGCGAAAATATGGACACGTCAAAGTGGCGCAAATGCAAACTGGACAGTACTGTCCATAGTTTATTCATACGACCTGGTCAAGTGATCATGCCAGGTGAATGCAGTGGCTGATAAAACAAAAATATATTTTTGGTTATCCTAAGTAACAAACTTACTTTTCAAAGACTTTGTATCGGTTTTTCAAATGTGATACTCGAGTAAACGCACTGTTGTTGAACGAGGGATTATCTTTTTCTAGTGGCTCCTTGAGGTGACAGCCATGACTGGAAAATAGGGTTTTAAACATGTCACTACGTTGTTTGCTTTCGTCCTTGAAAAAGAAAGATAGCCGAGTGATATAACACAAAGCTAGCTTAAAAAAAAATATCCGAATCAGGTGGAATGCACTTGGCCCAACTGCAGTGCCGGCACTTTGAGGAAGGAGTAGTGAAAGTTCAGTGGCGAATAAATAGAGGGACATCAGGGCTTGGCTGCACCTT